TTGTATATTTTATAGGATATGTACATTTCGGTTAATCGGTTAACCGTTTATTTGGGGGTCGAATATTCGAATATACATTTGCTTTCAAATTCCCATCCCTAGTAAGTGAGCAGTTCAGTGTAACATTTGTGATATTGGGCTATATAAATAAACATTGATTGATTGAGTGTGAGCAGAGCGACGTAGAGAATTGATTTATAGATGAAGATGTGTTCTCAACTGATCAAAGGTATCACATATTCACACATTCATATACAGCATTAAGGGATGTTGGCTCAATTCTGATAGTTGGACTGGTTTTGTGACAACGAGATGGCCATTTGGTTCTAAAGATCTAAAAAAGGGGTTCTCATGTAGGGTACATTGAGTTGGATCCATGTCCTGCTTTCAGATGTGAAGGAACATAGCATATTGCATTGTTATAACAGAACCAGCTTGAATCTAAAGCAACACTGACAATCATCTGTGCTGTAGAGCAGCAGGACACTGTCTTGGTGTGGTGTTGAATATTTAATTAGTCTTTTCTGGGAAGCCACCGCCCGCCTACGCAGCTACTTCGCTACTAACCCGCATCAGGGTGTGTAGACATCCTGAAGAAGTGTGTATAAATAGCTCCCGAAATACAATATATGAAGAATTCCAGCTTCTAGATATTTATTTTCAAATTGATTTAATGGCACTTATTGTATGTTCGTATTTTTCAATACACTTTTTGGTGATGTTTATCTTCCATTTTAGATAAACAGTATAACTGTTAAATTTATTTATTTATTTTTAGTTCATTTTCCATAGGGTATTTTTATAACTCAGACCCATTGACTCACCTTAACATTTGATCCATCTCAGTGAAATAAGCTTGAGCTTTTAAAAAAATGTGAATAAAATATATTTAATTAGTATGATGAATGTGTTCTTTCCAAAATCAAAGGGACATTGTATTTAGTCTTGACCGAAACATTATTTTTAAAACATTAGCACATACATTGCATGTATCTGAAATAAGATGCTATTAGCTAAAAATAAAAATAAAATTATAAAAATGTACCAAAACAGACGTCAGGCCCGTAATCACAAAAGCAAATGTAGAGTTTGATTATATGTGTAGCTTATGAGATGTGTGACCAATATTACATTTGTAAATAAATAATTTTTGGGATTTGAGTTGTGCGCCAGTCTTTGATCTACTTTGCTGACACTTCCTACTTCCTCTGTCCTATTATCTCTTTCCTCATCTGATTCCTCCCTCCCTCTGTTCTCCATCACTCTCCTTTAATCACATTACTCTCTCTCCATCCGTCTGTAGAGCTGAGCCGAAGCAGAGCAGACCCTGCCCTCTCTGATCGGAGAGGGAATCACGACCACAGGTCCAGACGCAAAGACTCTCCTCCATCATGCAGAGCTCCGTGCTTCTCCTTTCCCCGGTCCTCCTCCTGTGTCTCCTCATCCCCATCTGCACCTCCCAGAGCGACGGGGACCTCGTCGTGCAGACACGCAGCGGTCCAGTCCGCGGAACTCGCATACCGGTGCCAGACCGAAACCACGTCACCGCGTTTCTTGGCATCCCCTTTGGTGAGGCGCCAGTAGGGAAGCTGCGTTTCCGTCCTGCTGAGCCCAAGCGCTCTTGGACGGATGTGCATGAGGCCAACAACTACCCCAACGCCTGCTTCCAGTATGTGGACATGTCGTTCCCCGGCTTCCAAGGCAGCGAGATGTGGAACCCCAACAGAGAGATGAACGAGGACTGCCTGTACCTGAACGTCTGGGTGCCCTCCTCACCAAGACCTCACAACCTCACCGTCATGGTGTGGATCTACGGCGGAGGTACTGGGTCACGACTCTGACAGGAGGAGATAAGATATAAATTGGTTAGACATTACTCATTGGGTCAGCAGGGCCTCAGGCTGTGCCTTGTTGTAAAGAGGAGAGCATAAAATATAGCCAATTACATTTCTTTATTAGGATCTGCTTGATATGTGTTCACTCATCAACTCTTTGTAAGTAGACGATCTGAAAGTAGTCCTTTCACTCCATGCAGAGAACACATTGGATTCAGTTAAGTTACAGTACCTGTTTTATATATATTATTTATTTATATATAAATATACATATATAAATAAATAATATATATAAAACAGGTACTGTAACTTAACTGAATCCAATGTGTTCTCTGCATGGAGTGAAAGGACTACTTTCAGATCGTCTACTTANTTTCTGCGTTAATTGACTTAAAACAAAATTCAAGTTGTAGTAAGTAATGCAATTGGCTTGGAACATTGTTTTACACCGTGAGTTAAGGATTTCAAGTCCACTCCCACTTAACATGCCTGGACAAGTTCAGACAGTTAAGACAAATAGAAATATACAAAGGACATTTTAAGGTGAGTTTCATCTTTTGTCATTCAAATACAGTAGATAGCCTTGTAGTTGCACTGTATAGGCAAATTGCTGTTTGACCAAAATTAGCAGCCTTTGAACTGTGAATAGTTCTGTGAGAGGATACACTACTGTGAGAGTAAAAATACTTTGGTTACTATTGTGATATCGCTTTTTATTAAAANTTGATATGTGTTCACTCATCAACTCTTTGTAAGTAGACGATCTGAAAGTAGTCCTTTCACTCCATGCAGAGAACACATTGGATTCAGTTAAGTTACAGTACCTGTTTTATATATATTATTTATTTATATATGTATATTTATATAGTTACAACCGGCCCTTTGAGTGCAACTATAATTCTAATGTGGCCCGCGATGAAATTGAGTTTGACACCCCTGCTCTAGACATTAAACATCCTAAACTTTATTAATTATTATATCAATACTTTTTTAACAGCAACACTTTTAACTGTTTGTTTGAGATGAAGTGATACAATGGGTTACTATACTGTGATATTTAACATTTCCAGGGTTCTACAGTGGTGCTTCCTCTCTGGACGTGTATGATGGCCGTTACCTAGCTCACAGTGAGACAGTCATTGTGGTTTCCATGAACTACCGTATCGGTGCCTTTGGCTTCCTCGCTCTGCACGGCTCCCCTGAGGCTCCTGGCAACGTGGGTCTGCTGGACCAGAGGCTGGCCCTGCAGTGGGTACAAGATAACATCCATTTATTTGGTGGAAACCCCAAACAGGTTAGTTTCTCTCTTTTTTTTCTTGTCTAAGGTGCGATCTCGTTTTGCTCCTGGTTTCTAAATTGCTGGGTTTTTTTACCAAACAGGTGACCATCTTTGGTGAGAGTGCAGGAGGTGCTTCAGTAGGATTCCACCTTTTGTCTCCAGACAGCCGGCCTACCTTCACCAGGGCCATCCTCCAGAGCGGGGTCCCAAACTCCCCCTGGGCCTCAGTGAGCCCCGCGGAGGCCCGCAGACGGGCCACGCTGCTGGCCAAACTGGTTGGCTGCAATGGAGGCAACGACACAGAGCTGGTGGACTGTCTGCGTGGTAGATCCCCACAGGAGCTCATCGACCAGGAGTGGCAGGTAATGCAGACAGTCAGAAAACAGTGTTTGAGATTCACTTCATTCTCTTCCATACACACACATCAGGTCCAAATAAACTTGAGCAACAAATGTGGATTAATTAGCCGTTGAGGGATGTTTGAGGGATGTTTGTAAAAATGTCAGTGACTAGTTGTTTTAGGAAATGATCAACAAGATGAAACTAGATTAATAGATGAAAGTAATTTTTAATTGTATTATAACTAGCAGAGTTGTTAATAATATTACTTTTGTCGGTAACGGAGTAGTGTAACGCGTTTATATTTACGTAACATTTGCGTGACTTGTGCTTCCACATGCAGTGCATAAACATGGCCGAGTCAACAGCGATAACTTTCGAGGGGTGGAGGTATGCCCATTATTTTGAGTTTGTCCAAAGAAAAGACAGGAATGTGACGGTGAGGTGCAAACTGTGTCCAGGCCAGAAGCTTTTATCCACTGCTGCAAACACCACATCAAACCTCAACAAGCACCTGCAAAGACAACATGCTAACGTGAAGCTAATAGCTAAGGACCCCCTAACCCAGAGTGAGGATGTAAACAGGGCCGCTCCCTCCGCAAAATGAAGCACCCTCCACAGTCTGCGTGATCTGCCTGTAGGGAGGGGCGGCCCTGCGAGTAAAGTAACGAGTAAAGTAGAGAGTAACGAAGAAAAGTCATATATAACTTTTTTTTTAAAGTAATATGTAATATATTACTTTTTTTGAGTAACGACCCCATCTCTGATAACTAGTGCCATTTCTTGACACTGTTTACAAATAAACCAGACAGGATTCAAGAACCATCATTGCATTGATGCAAATCATATACACATCAAATATTGCCATAAACCCATCCTGCTTACGATTAATTGTCCACAACGTTCTAACACAACTAAATAGACACCGTCACAGTTTGGCAAAATCTCGACTTACATTTTTATTTTCTCTGGTATATATTGTCTGATTCAGTATATTGGAGGAATCAGTGTTTCCCAATAATCACCTAGGCAGCATGCCTTAAAAACTATAATATAATTATATTCATAAAAACGTTTTTACTTCAGAACAGGTTGATTGGCTTGCCCTTGCGGAACGCATTTCCTCTATGCCAGTGTTTTCATTTGAACTCTGCTATTTCTGTCTTGTCTTCATTTGATTATTTCCCGCTTGACCTTGGAGGGATGGTTACGTATGGAGTGTACCGCTGCAGCTTCCATATAGGTAGTCTATTGACAATCTTTAGGACTGTATAACCCCTAATCAGATATGCTGTTCCAACATAAAGTTGGCTCTGGGTACAGGTACAATTTAAATGCCAGCCCGACCCTGCTGCAATGTATCATATAATGTGATCAAATACCCATGACACATACCAGATGTGCTAAGGTGCAGCACCAGTCTACACAGCATAGTGTAAGACAGCGGTTCCCAACCTGTGGGCCGTGGCCCCCTAGTGGTCCGCGAAGGCATTGCAAGTGGGCCGCCAAATAATTTCATTTCTTTCATTTTTTTTTTTTTTTTTTACAGGCTCTTTTTTTTTACAGGCAAACATGGACATAACAATAACATATAGGAGATGACATTCCCATCTCAGACAACAACAAAACAAAAACAGAAGAAATAAAGATACAGCTATAGGACTACTTCAACATTTCACAAACAAAAATAGGTTGACAACCAATGGGGGGCGGGCTCGCCGTGGGACTCGACAGGAGAATACAAGCGGACGAGGCTGCGGGTGAGGCCGAGCCCTGGCAGCAGCGCGCTCGCTGAGAGCAGGTGTTGTCCCTGTGCGTTACCGTTGGCCTCTCCGGCCTGCGGTGGCCGTCCTGACGAAGGTCGGCGCTGAGCGTGTGAGCCTCATTGACCTACTAGACTGCGAGTGTTCTAGGACCTAGGATCATTGGGGAGGGTCTTCCGGGACCCTCGGTTCCGTCGTAATAGTAGGGGAGTGGGAGACACAAGATGTGGTCGCCGAAGGGGGGTTGGAAAGAAGTGAGGCCGTTCTTGAGATTTTAGCGAAAGGGCGGCGTGGCGGGTGAAGTGGTGAGTGTGTGTGAGCGGCTCGCGTGTAGTTGTGCGAGCGAGTTAAGGTCGTGTAGCGCGCTGTGGAGACAGGGTGTGTGGTGCGTGTGCGTTGTCTTGCGACAGTTGCGGGGGCGTGAGCATTAGCTGGCAACGGTTCCTCCCTAGTTGCTTTCTCTTTCTTTATCAATTTTATTTTTTCGATATGTACTTTTACAAAAGGGTGAGTTTAGTACCCCTCTCAAAACGTTTAATAAAGCCGCCGTTTACTAAGCTTAAATGTAAATGTGGGAAAATATATATAAACATAAACCCGACAATCTATTCTGCGTGTGTCAATTATTTATGTTGATAAGAAGACCGATTTTATGTATAAAAATTTTAAGTTAGTTCCTCATTGAATTAATTCCACAAACTTCTCATCTAATTTTATTTTGATAAATCTTTTATTAATAACGGTGTTTTTAGTTTCCCACCGACGGTTGCGGTACTTACCCTTTATTGGACTCGAGATTGCTCGTCTCCCCTAATGTTCCTCGGTGTGTGATTATACGAACGACACGACGGAA